ATATAACACTGTGTGTATACACATACATACATATACATATGCATGTGTATGTATATATGTGCACAGGATATGTGTGTGTATATATATATATGTGTGTGTGTGTGTGTAAAACCTGTAATTATTGTTCAACAGAAATAAGATTGGGGAATTAGGCTGTTTCTCTTCTCTCGGATTTGTGGTTTTATGTTAATGCCCATTTGAGTCTTATGGTTGCAAATTCCCATTACGAACTTCTGCCTCGGTCAGAGATATATTTATTTATACATAAGGTTGTAATTACTAGGTGCTCAGATATTCATTTCTACGTTAACGCAGAAGGGTAGGGTACTCGGGCTTCAGAACACTGTAGCATACTGCTAGCAAGTAGAAAGTTGTCTTTATTCTGCACCCCACACCCACACAACCCTCTCCGACCAAGAGATGGGAGCTAGCGCCCCTAGAGGCTTACCTGTAGGGCACTTTCCTTCTTCTTGCTGCCCATGGTTCTGCAAAGACACAAAACTCTGATCCTGGGAAATGGGTGGTAAGCGCGACAGCTGCCCCACAACCTGTCAAACCAGCAAGCCCAGGGCCTCTTTTAAAGAGAAGGGAAATCAATGTACTGATACAAAATACACAGAGACGCAGACGGACGCACCCTCACCTTCCCTCCCTCTCCCGGAGCCCAGGGGATCGCCAGGCTGTTTTCAGAGGCGTGCAAGTGGGGGGGGGGGGGGGAGTGTCTGCAAAGCCCCTTCACTAAGAAGCCCAGGGCGCCCGCAGGCAGCAGAGCGTCCACTAAGGAATGCGAGACGATAAAAAGGGTCCCGTAGTCTCTATAAGTTCCCATGAACTACTGGGAAATAGCCTCTGTTGACGGTATAGATACCAGATATCGGGGTCCGGATGAGGACAGGAAGTATCCAGCTTCACTCGGCAGCGTCTTTGCAATGGTCGTCCTGGCAACCCAGCACCCAGTTTACCACTCCCAGTGGGGAGCTCTCATTGGCTGGAGAGAATGTCAGGTGCTAAGGTAAAAAGATCCCACCCTTCCGTGCTCAATTCCTTCCTTCTTCCTCCTAGCCTGCCAGAGTTGATCCAGCCTTGATAGCCTTAAAGGAGGGCCGCGTGGGAGATGGCTTTTCAGGAATATGAGAGTTGTCTTTAAGTCTACAAATAATTGTGAATTCAAAGTTAACTATGGAAGTCAAGTTCACATGTGCCCAACAGGTTCAAACAGTGGGTATTAATCCAAGGATATCAGAAGTCTGACTTAAATCATTAAAAGACAGAGATGGCGGAATGCGGTTGAAGAGGTAACTCAGGGTAAGATCACGTGTTGGTCTCACAGAGGACCTAGGTTCGATTCCCAGCACCCACAAGGTGGCGTGTACCTCTAATTCCAGGGGGAATCCTAAGCCTCTTCTGACTTCCTCCTCCTTCTCCTGGCACCGCAGCATGAACCCAGGGAAAACACACACATAAAACAAATAAACCTAAAAATAAGGTTCTAAGTGTACTGTTTGAACCTCTAGTCTCCTCCGAAAGCATCACCTAGGGCGACCTTGTTTTTTATGCCATTGTTTGAAGGACTTGGGAGTGGGGTGGGGGAATGGGAGGAGAACGAGGTCAGAAGAGGGCGCCAGATTGCCAGATCTGGAACTGGAGTTACAGATGGGTTTGAGCTACCATGTGAGTGCTGGAATTGAGCCCTGGGTCCTCTGGAAGATCAGCCAATGCTCTTAATCACCCACCTACCCCTGGAGCATGGTCTTTTTGTGTTTGATAATATTAATGAGATTGTTTTGTCCAAATCAAATCTCTGGAAAACATACGTCTTAATTAAACTTATGCTAAGGAATGTGCTTATTATTTTGCTTTGTTTTAATGCAAAGATGTCAAACTGTGGCCAATGGGATCTTTTGGCCCAAGAGATTAACTTCTCCTGCAAGTCATGCTCTTTGCCACAAGGTGGTGGCTTGCTCAAAGGAACCTCTTAAGAGACCCAAATTAGCAGGCACATCCCCACCCAACAGCCCCCCACACACACACACCGAGTCGCTGGAACTGTGTGAAATAAATCATCCACTAAATTGGGCCGTGTGACATCTTCCAGTTTTTTTTTTTTCATTTTAAACGATAAGGAAATAGAACCACAAAAGCAGAACTGAAAACTTCTCAGTCAGACTGATTTGGCTGAATCCCACATCTGCTTCCCGCCCCCTCTCACACCCCCGCCCCCAAGCCTGGAAAAAGTGCCTCCTCCTTCAGCCTCAGTTTCTCGTTTTTAATGAGGAATATAATTCTTGCCATCCAGGAATGTTGTGGAAAAGCTGATGTCTTGGTGTCTCTGGACACTGACACCAGTGTTGCTGTGGAGTCATGTCCTCTTTCACATGTGGAATGGTGCTGGCCGGGAGCTCCAGGAGAGACCACAGTGGCTGTCCCACCTACATCCCTTGCATCCTGGTGGAGATATTTGTCTGGTTTTCCTCCGTCAAATTGGAAGAGGTGGGTAGCACTATTTCTTTCATTGTTGGGCTCAGGCTGGCCTTAACTTGTGATTGATTCTCCATGGTGCTGGGATTATACGGATGGAAACACCATAGCTTGGCGAACTACAATTTATCAAAATTGTATGCCATATTTTGTTGTTTTCCTATCGGCTTGGTGACTGCCCCTGAACCTACTGATACTTTAACTACCATCTGCCGACTCGTGGCCCTGCAGTCAGAATCTCATCGCTCAGGCTGTGTCCTGACAGGATTTCTGGTCCCACTGGCACTCAGCTGCTGCCACCAAATGTAGCTTTTAACTAAGTCTCTATTGTTCTATTTACCAATAAAGACTCGGGAGCCCAATGTTGGGGTGAAAACCTGCTAGATCAGAGAAGCCAGGAAGTAATCAGCTGACCTTCCTTTTTGGCCAGAGACCCAGCAAGAGAGAGTCTCTCCCTTCATCCCAAACCAAAAAAGATTATGACTCTCCAAGTCTCTCCCTTTTCCTTCCTGTGCATCTCTCTATCCATCTTCCTGGCTTTGCTGTACTCTCTATAGCTAATTCCTGTCAACTAGTGGCTGGCTCCGCCCTCTGATCCAAGCCTGATTTTATTAACACAGTCTCAGGTTTCACAGTGCGATCAAATATCCCACAACAATGTTCATTGCTTTTTTTTTTTATCCTAATAAAGCTTTGCGTACCACAGGCCATGAAGCTGTTTTCTATTATTGCTTTCTAAGAGTTATAAAAATCTCCAATTCTTGGAATGATAAGAAAAAAGATAATGAAAACAAATATTACAAAGTTACCTCTAAGGGCCTCTAGGGACTGGAGCGATGACTCAGTGGTTTGGAACATTTACTGCTCTTGCAGAGGACCTGAGTTCAGTTCCTGGCACCCACATGGTGGCTCCCAGTTGCCTGTAATTCTACTTTCAGGGGCTCCTGCACACATGTGGGACACATCCATCCACTCAGGCACACACACATACTGTAGCTAGAGAGGGGAGTTACCTCTGCAGAGGCTTACAGTTCTCTGTCTATTGCTCAGGTTGGCTAAACTTATGAGTTCAAATAACCCTTCAATACACCAAGTAGCTGCCATTGTAAGTGCATAGGATTCTGCCCAACTTAATTCCAGGTTTTAGCTGAAGGTTTTATACTCTGATAATTGTTTCTTATTACAGTTTTAGCAAATAGCACAGAGAAATCCTTTGTGTGCCCTGCCGGGTTTCTCTCAATGGTAACATTTTAAAAAAATAACAGTATCACAAACAGATTAGTGATGGTGGCACAATTCATTCATCTCAGACGGTAGCAGTGCTGGTGGCTGCTGTTCCCGTGTGTGTATGTGTGTGTGTGTGGTCTATAAACATTTTATCACTTGCACAAGTTGGTGTATTCACTGCCATTCAGGAGAAGTCTTTTTTATAATTAATTTTATTTTTTGAAAAAGAAAACAAACTATCTCTTTTTATTTTACGTACCAATCCTAGTTCCCACTCCCTCCCATCCTCCCCTCCTCCCATCCCCTCCATTTACCCCCACCCCATCCAGTCCTCAGAGAGGGTAAAGCATATTGCTTTGGGGAAGGTCCTTACTATATCTAAGCTGAGCAAGGTATCCATCCAAAGAGAATATGTTCCCAAAAAGCCAGTACATGCAGTAGGGATAAATCCTGGTGCCACTGCCAGTGTCCCTGCAGTCTGCCTCAGCCATGCAACTGTCAACCACGTTTAGAGGGTCCAGTTTGGTCCTATGCTGTTTCCTTCCCTGTCCAGCTGGAGTTGGTGAGCTCTCATTGGCTCAGGTAAACTGTTTCAGTGGGTGTTCCCATCATGTTCTTGACCTCTTTGCTCATATTCTCATTCCTCCCACTCTTCAACTGGACTCTGGGAGCTCAGCCCACTGCTCTGTTGTGGGTATCTGCCTCTGTTTCAAAGCTTTCAGCCACCATCCATGGAGAAAAGAAGGTATTCCATGACAAAACCAGATTTAAACAATACCTATACACAAACCCAGCCCTGCAGAAAGTACTAGAAGGAAAGCTCCAACCTAAGGAAGTTAACTGAACCCACAAAAACACAGGCAACAGATAACCTCACACCAGAATTCTAAACAAAGGAGCACTATGCTGTCCTTTAAAGCGGTGCCCACCTTCCTCCTGGGTGTCTCCTCAGGTCTATCTTTAGCCACGCCCACCTTCCTCCTGGGTGTCTTCCCAGACAGACCTACCCTTAACCTCCAACAACTGCTATTCTCTCCTCTGCATCTAAACTTTTGTTATTAAAAAAAGTTATGTAAAATTATATCAGCGATATTATACAACATGTAATCTTTTGGGGACCAGCTTATTCATTCCCCTGGCCATCATCCCAATTGTTTCATGTATTCACAATTTAATTCTTCTGCACAGCTGTGCATTTATTCCTCAGACTTGGTGCACCATTCTTTGTTTCAAGCTAATTTTGGCCTGGGATGCGAGGGAGGAGTCAAGGCTCACCTTCCCACATCTATTTCTGGCTGTGTGAGCAGGGGATGGTTACTTTTACTTCACTGAATTGCTTTCTCTTGTATAAAAATTCAGTTGGCGAGGCCAGGCATGGTGGTACCCACCTTTAATCCCTAGCACTCAGGAGGCAGAGGCAGGGGACTCTCTGTCAGATCCAGGTCAGTTTGGCTACATAACAAGTTTCAGGCCAGCCAGGAATATAGAGTGAGATGCTGTCTTAAAACAAATAATGAACTGATCATACTACTGTGAGATTTTTTTTCAGGACTCTTTTTTTTTGCTATTAATAGACATTAGATAACAATTAAGATTATCTTAAAACCATATAATCAAAATCATTCAATTTTATTTCTTATTTTATCTTTTAACTTAGTATACAAAGTAGTATGTTTAATTACAGCATTTTCATACATGTTGTTTTCCTTCTCAACATTCCTTGGCTTATTTTTAATTACTTTGATTTTAATGTAAACTTCAGAGTCAGCCTGTTAATATCTTTGGGAAGATTCTGTTAAATTTGAGCAGGATTGTGCTGACTCTAAAGATTAGCTCGGGCAGAACTGACACTGGATTTCTGTTGCGTCACCCAGTCTGTAAACAGGGTGATCTCATTATTTCATCTTCCCAGAGCTAGGGATAGAACGCAGGGTCTCGGGCATCTAGATCAAGTTAAATCATCAGACTGACTTTTGCTTTTCTTTTATCTCAACAATATTTTCATGTTATTGAAAAAGCAGAAGTCATTTGCATTTTGTTTTCTTTCCCATTATTATTGAAAGTTGCTATTCCTTTTTTTTTAAAAAAAAAAAAAAGGTTTCTTTATTTATTATGTATACAACATTCTGCCTCGATGTATGCCCACATGGCCAGAGGAGGGCGCCAGATCTCAGTACAGATGGTTGTGGGCCAACCATGTGGTTGCTGGGAATTGAACTCAGGACCTTTG